CGAATAAACTTAATATCTCGTTAATAAATGCGAATTTTACAAAATAATAGAGGACTTTTTGTTCAGTTTAATCTACTTATCTTGCCACACACTTGCATTCAGCGGTGGGCCGGATGAATACGCGTTTATTCGTCAATCTTCAAAAATGAATGTCTGGTTTACGATTGCGAATTTTGCAAAATGGTAGAGGACTTTTCGATTCAGTTTAGTCCGTTCTACCTACCCATGAACGGTGATACATCTATTATGAGACACCCTGTATATATAAAACGTTTTACATCTCAAATTTCGAGGATCAACGTGAAAAACGTTATAAATCTAAAGGTGAGAGCCGAGCGGGCTGAATGTTTCTGAAAACGAGGAAAAAATAAGCAAAATTGTGCAGAAAAACGGTAATAAATCAGTGAGGGAGGAAACGAGATGGAGGAACGACACAAGTCGTTCTATCTTTAGAGTTTACGTTCGCATCACTCGTCGAGACGCCGAAGTGTCTGCCAGGCGGATCTTATCTGAACTCGTGCGAACGCGTTGAAACTTGTTATCACGATCGACATAGTGAAATTTGCGCGAAGATTCGCGCAAAGGAATATGGAAATAATACTAGCTGTCTTACAATATATTGTTATCTAATAAAGATAAAGACAAAAAAGTTTTGAAAATTTCTTTTTTATTTGATCATATTTAGTTATAAGTATGTTTATAATGTAAATTAAATGATAAATATACAATGAGAACAATTTTAAATAAAGAAACATGTATATAATACATTTAGATACATGAAATACCTATAATTAAAAAGATATTTATTTAATATAATATTTATTTAATTTTTTGTATTATAGTTTAAAATAACAAATCGAAAAAATTATTTATCTAAATGAATTTTAGAGAAAGTGAAGATAAATAATTGTTATTTTTTTTTTAAATAAAGATTATTGATATAAAAAGTAAATATAGTTAAGGAGGTTGTACGATTATAATTGCTTTATAATTTTTTATATCAACACTTTGTATTGGCAGCAGTATAGCAGCAGATAAAAATACATACGATAAATCAAAGTTCAAACATCAATTTTTTTAGAAAGAAAAGAAATAAGAATTAAGAGTCCAATAGCCAACAGGTCTCAGTTAACTTAACTTTTGATTTACGATCGCCGTATCGGCAGCACGTGGTCCAATCCGTACCATAAAATGAGTTCTGAAATAGTCACAGGGGCAAAAAATACATTCTCTAAAATATCAGGCCCTATTACGATTTTTATCGCTGTACCTTATTACCAGATACAAAAAGAATTTCGAAAAAGATGTTAGATAATTCTGTTCGCTCTGACCTATACTGACATGAGCTTCAAATGCTACATACATATGTACTGCAGTTTTCTCATTAGGCAAGTTTACTTGATGAGCTTTTGAGCTTTCATAGTCCTAGAATTTCTAAAAATAATAATGTTTGTTTATATATAAATGATTAAAATATCGCACATTACATTTATACACGTGAATAAATGATATATTTTGAAAACAAGAACTAATCCATCCATTATATTTATACGATCCTTCGTTACGCGATAATCCACTTAATATAAAATCCTCGTGTGTAACAATGTTTGAAATATCATATGAGAAGATCGGTATATCCCTCGTACTGTATTAATCTTATTAATTAACGCGAGTTAATCATACATGGATCGTGTTATGAACCTTATTTCCCGGAAATTCGTCCACGTGGCGCTGTGATATAGACGTTTTATTCTAATACGTTTTGTAAATATTATCAAAATTCGTTCAACACGTCTCTTGATTATAGTGGGTGGTCTTCGCATTAAAGCGTTAAAGACGCCGTTGCTATAAGAATCAGCGAAATAGAGATATTGACTACTCCTATTCACTTCAATTTGTCATTTACATTTAAATATTTGAGAGAGAAATCAGATTTATATAAAGAATTATTTACATCTGATAATTAATATTAATAATAATAAAATTACGCATGTTATATTTGTCGTTTTTCCACTTATACATACATTCTGACTATCTACATATAGAAAATTTCAAACACTGTCAACTATTTTGGCATGATTCATGACACAAGAAATATAATATTTTTCTATTTTTATATTATTCTATTCGCATATTCAGTTGTATGTCATAAATTCTGTCAATTCTGAGTTCATTTTCAGAATTTTTAGAAAAATTTTAGAATTCTTTTTGCATCTGAAAATGAACTTATTTTGATGACATATTACTGATTTCTTTTTTAACTCTGTGATATATGGAAGACCACATTGACGTAATTGACAATTTAATTGAGCTCATTTTTTGCAAACAGTATATCAATGCATTATTATATTCAAGTTATTAATTTCACAGTTTATTTACAATCAAAATTACTATATATTTACGCCTATATATGTTTCGTTTTGCATTGTATAGTCACCGGCTAAAAGGTTGCAACACTTTTTATTTCGATGGAATGCAATTTTGCTTGTGGACCGGTTGAACATAATTGATTAGATCCGTTGGTAGGAACCAATCGCTCGGTGAACAGACCGTGTTCCGAAAATAATTATAAAAAAAGTGTTGTAACCTTTTAGCCAGTGACTATACACACAATTTTATTATATACACACAGCACACTGCACACACGAACGTACTGCTCACAATGCATCGCACACAAGATCGTGTTGCGCACATTTTCCATGCTGCATACATGACATACATACATTGTGAAACTTTGTTTTGTGTGGAAAGTTATAAACTCATATAAGGAATCGTATAATTATGGACTTCGTTTTTCGTACTGCATACAACGGCGCGCCGCGGTGATGTGGATCTCACTTATTGTTAATACAGAACTGCACTTCAAGTGGAAATATACACAACACGAAACAATAAACCTCTAAATCATTCGAAGATTCTTCAATCATCTCTAATATTGTCCAATGTCTTGATATATGTACATACATATATTTATTGATATCCTATTATTTTGAAAATTTCTTTTTATATGTATATGTAAGCTTGAACTTTAATGAAAATAATAATTATAATTTGAATAAGATCGCCCAAGTAAATAACACAACTGACTTCAAGAGCGTTTTTTCGCGGTTACGACTAGATCTTAGATGCCTAACGAATTCTATATGAATTTTCTTCATTCCATGTAGTACAGCCGTTAAACTGCGCGCCAATTAAATGTTCGGACTTGTAACGCAATTAGCTGAGGCTGGAATAAAGATATCATATATTGATCTTCCTAATCAATCGATATATGCTTATAAGCATCTTAAAATACTGAAAAGAACTTATTACGAAAAATATCTAAAAATAAATAAATAAATTTTGGCAATAAGTTCTTTTCAGTATTTTAAAATGCTTATAAGTATCGATTGATTAGGAAGATCAATATGATATCTCTATTCCAGCCTCAGCTTTGCATTACAAATCCGAACATTTAATCGGCGCGCAGTTTAACAGCTGTACATGGAATTAATAAGAAAATTCACATAGAATTCGTTGAGCATCTAAGGTCCAGCCGTGGCCGCAGAAAGGCGCTCTCGAAGTCAGTAATTGTTTAATGAAACTCTTTTTTTATTACTGACTTTTTATTACTGAGCTTGAATTGTTTAACAGACTTAATTCCCATGACTTAATCCATATAATTTAGAATCACTTATAACTTATCACTACTAAAAGTGATTTCTTTTATAATAAATTGCTCGTTGTATATCCGCAATTGCAATCAGATAAAATTCGTGACTAAAATATGCAGAATCTTTTCTTAGTTTCTCTTCTTTTGATTTTGCAAGATTCATAAAAATGATAATTATTTGCCGTGGTTATCGTTTCAATTTAGTTTCAATCAGTTTTTCAGTTTCAATTTAGTGTGTCGTAAACATTGATTCCTTCTGTAATTCGACATGTCATATTCTTATTCGATAGTATGATAACAAAGAGTCGAGCGAGATATACTGTCACAATTTCACCAAAACTGACATTGTTTCATCGAGAGACACCCAGTAGCCGTGGATGGTATGCCGCCAGAAAGCGATGTACTGGTATTTGGCAAAGCATGACGACGTAACGTCGCGTTGTCGACGTTGTACCTCCGGTTAGTCTGCGACAGGTCCAGGTAGAGAGAGGCCACAGCATGAACCTCTATATCTCTATATCTCTTCCTCGGTCTGGTCCATCGCAGCGTCGTCTCTGCAGCGTCCATCCTCTCTTACGCCCGCTGCTTGTTCGCTCGAGTTTCCGCACGCGAACGAGATGGAAAGGGAGAGAAGGGGCAAAGACGCTTTTAGACACGGAGCGTCCACGAGCGTCGCGACGCCTTGAGGAGCAGTAGTCGCGTATCTTAGCTTCCACCTTGCCGGCTCATACGGGCAACTTGTAACGTTTGTGATTTCGACGTCCTCAAACGAACGTCGAGACGTGTCATATTGTTTTACACGTGCCATCTTTTACACTGTCTCTCTTAAGACTTCATTACTTGGAGAGAGATAGTTTCGTAAGCCGCACAACAATGAAGAAATTCTCGTATCGAGTGTCTTTTTAATTTTTACTTTCTACGAGATTGATTAGTGTCAAAGCTTTTTAGATAGCCACTACTGATCGTGGAAGTTGCCGTTTGATCGCAAAAGGATTAGGAATAAGCAGCATTTCGTTAGTCCGAATTTCTCTCGTTGAAACCATAATCGCGCGTGGCATGTGATCATCTAATTGCCGCTCTCGTATAGCAGCGGAATTATTATCGTCCAGGAAAGAACCGCGTCATCGTCTTATCTTTGATCGATCCCTGTCTAACGATATATTTCTCTTGGTGAAAGTGTTCAAATAAAGTGCCTTATGTTTGCTCTGTGCGAAGCGTATTTACTTCGCTCGATGTGTCCTCCAGTCAAAGGTGATGTGATGAATCGTCGCAAGTGAGAAGAGAAAAGGAGACGCGCTTATATTCCCAATTGGCATGGTAGAGTGACTGTTTTACGGGGTGGTGGTGGACGGCTGTCCGCAAACCTTCCCTATTGTGCTCAACAGACCGGAAAGACACAATTCCGCGAAGGTGGTTCGCGTGGCGAGGCAGGACAAGGACGCGACGATGGCAGAGCGTCCTGGTGGAGGCAGGAGACGCTCACGTCGCGACAGCGCGGACTCGATACGCGGGACACCGCCCACGTCCAAAGATCGCAGAACCAAACGGTCCGGCAAGCCCGTCAAGGAACGATGGCTGCTCACCAGAAAGACATGGCGATACATGGCCGATGCCGGACGTCGTCTCATCCCTGACGGCACCCATAATCGCCCAGAGGACATACCAAAGATTGAGCAATATTTTCAAGAGGTATGCCAGAAAGAACCGCGTTTCCTGCTTTGGAGAAAGGCCTCGTATCCTGGTAGTCTGGGCATTCGTGCCCAGCGGCGTCGTAAACAGATCAAAGGCGGCAGTTGTCGAACCCAGGCTAGCTCAGCCGACGAGGCCGATGACGCCCGGAGCTCGCCACAGAGCTTCGTCCTTTGCGCGACCACGTCTGGCAAATTTGATCTGGCAAAGGCAAAGAGAGAGTGGCTGCTGACGTCAGGCGGTAGCAACAGCGGCGGTGGCGATGGTAGTAGCGACGGCGGCGGTGGCGGCGGCAGCGGTGGTGGCGGTGATGGCGACGGCGATGGCGACGATGGCAGCTCGCCACCGAGTCCGGTAGCGCGTCGCAGGACACCTCAGGAGGACATCGAGGCCAAGGAATTGGCCGATATGCTACAGAAGTACCTGAACATGCAGGGTGACACCGCGGCCAATCCGGCGAGGATGGCTATCAAGTCACAAGGGACAGTCGAACAGATGGAAGGGAAAGAGCCCTTCGACTATCGTAGTTTGATAGACAAGCTGGAACAGCATCTAAATACGATTGTTGCTCAGGCTAAACGTGAAAAGGTTTCCTTTAGTCAAAGTACTCGTAGCGGGAAAGACGTGGTTCCGGCATCCATGTTGCCATACCAGGGCGATTACGTTCATAAATCACTATTAGAGACATTGAGTCGTTACTATAGCAAATCATCTTCCCGGGAGCACGTTATATCCAATATCTTGACAGATCGAAAGCTCCTCGAAAAACTTTATTTCGATCTGAGGTGTACCAGAGGCTTCAGGGGACCCCGAGCGACCGGTGCATATACCTCGCCGTCCGCTCGATGGTGGGTTCACGAGAGAAATAGAGCAGCTACCAAAGAATCTAGTAATCGGTCAGCCAGAAGGGACCCGATCTCACCACCTCTAATCGCTGTCCAGGGACCTAGCACCGACCGAAGCTTTCTCGATAATGGCGTGCAAACCGACCCGATTTCTCAAGGTGTCCTCGACATGTGTCTGTTGGAGAAGGAGAAAGAAGAGTCCTCGCAAAAAGAGCAGATGTTACATAAGTCCAGCGGACGAAGACGCAGTAGTGTCGACAACGATGACGTATCGCCGTCCGTGGGCGATACTATCAAGCGGTATCTGCGGATGGCGCGGAAAAAGTCTATGGACTCGGACAAAATCGATCGATTTAAGAGGGTCAATTATGATCGGAATTTACGCAACATCAAAGCCAAGGGTGAGATTACCAAGCCTGGCGACGACGACGGCAATAACAAAGGCTGCCAGACGGAGGATAATTGGGTGGTGCATTATCGCGAGATGTCCTCTTTCAGTCCCGGCGAGATCCCGTCCGAGAATTTATCGGACGCTGACACGACGACGTCCCCGCCAGTCAGCAGGAACGCCAGTTCCAGAAGCAGCATCGACGCCGGCCTCGGTTCCGAGGAGATTTCCACCCCCGTTAAGCATCCTCATCACCATCAATCCTTCCTGTCCCATCTCCTGCATGGTTCCAACACGCATAAAGATAAGCCGCATTCGGCACCCGGTTCGCCGGCACTCACGTCATCGTCCGCCAATTCCGCAGGTGGCACAGCGATGCAGAAGAGCAAGTCCTCGAGTAGCGTGGTGCATCACGGCAGCCGGCTGGTGGCAAAGAAGATTTGGCGGTCCAGGAGCAAGAGCACATCGAGAGCATCGCATCAGCCGTCTGTGTGGACGCCTCAGGTGAGTCTTTTTTCGTGTGCACTACTACTTGATGTGATTATCACAGAAATATTGTAAAGAAGTTTACATTGAAACTTTGCGTTTTTTTATAAATTTTTATTTAAACAAGTTTCGAAATTCTTGAGAGATTAACTTGATTTGTAATAATTGACTATACACTACTAGGAAAAATGTTTTGTTCTATGAATCAAAATTTTGGTGAAAATTTCACAGAAACAACTAAAATTATATAAAACAAAATATGATTGCTGTCAAAAAACACTCCAATTAAACAGAATAATTTTAAATGACAAAAATATTTTTTTATACCAGCTATAAAACAGTTTTGTTCTGTACATTTCAACCAAAATTTTGATTCATAAAACAGAACATTTTTTCTAATACATTTTCAAACTTTTTTATTAATGAGACCTTAATATAGCTGCATGTTTTTATTTTAAAACAACTTCAAAAATTGAAATTCGATATTTTCATAAAAATCTTTATGTATAATTGTTTTTTTTTATATAACGGTCTTTATGTATAATTATAACAATGAAATGTGATGTAAGAAAGATATATGTTTTCTTATTTATAAACTATTGAAAATTGGTATTTTGAGATTCAAAATCAGTTTAAATTTTGAGACTCAAAATTTAAATTGATTTCAATTTTTTAACTTCTTCTATCCATGGAGGATGAAAATGTCCGGTTTTTAATATTTGTTTAAAAATATTCAATGTCTGATCTTTCTCCGAAATGAAGATATTTGAAATTTTAATATTTGTTTGAAGATAAGCAGAACACTGAAGAAATATACGCATGTACGCGCGTGCGTGTGTGTAAATGTGTGTGTGTGTGTGTGTGTGTGTGTATGTGTCAAAAACTGTTTTAACTAAAATAAATACTAAAGAAAAATAGTTTCTCTCATGGAAAAATATTCGTAAAAAACCGATTAAAAATAACTGGATAAACATTCTAGTGAAAAACCATTCAATATTGTATCCAATACACTATCCGTTTCAATTAAAAGTGTTTTCACTAATCCAATAGTATTTTTCCATAATGATTATTTGGGTAAAGTTGTTAAAATCGTTAACTCCTTCGTGTAATTCTGTCGTTATTGAATAATAGTAGTTACATTTGTGGACGTAGAATTGTGTATAGATGGCTTTCCTTGTCATTTGCGATAAAATGCGACAGCTGAGTGAGCTGAGAAATGAACTGCGTCTTCTGGAAATTATATTAGATGTATCTCGTGAATTTTCCAATGAGCTATAGCGAACACATTCTTTGGCGTCTCGGCGAGATTAGCAAAAAGCTTAATAAAAACGAACAGTAGATATCATGAATTTGGCATAGACCCGTATTTTCGTAAGTGCAACTTTTGGCGGTGGTATCCATACATACCGTGCGAAGCAGGAATATCTTTTGAAAGAGCACGAACAAGATTCTGAATTATAAGGGTGTTTGTCGAAATTGGCAATTGGTAACTACACTATTTTTGGAGAAAGTTATTCTTGCAAATTAATTTCGCTATATATGACAAATTATTTATAGTTATTACACAATGTGCTAAGTGTCCTTTATAAACGTGATAAGTAATATCGCGCGCAATGCCCGTCCTAACCTCCTTCTTCTCTCTCTTTCTCTTTCCATTTGTTCACAATATAAGTATTATACTTAGTTTTGTAAAAATATGTTTTTACAAAAGAAAACAACCTATTATTACATTTCTCATGTGAATAACGGTAACATTTAATATGAAAGAAAGAAAATTTCTAAAACGTACATTTAATATTCCTTCCCGCATTTGCTCTTAACGGGTCTTCAAAAAAGTGTCCCCATGTTATCATTTATAATTTAAATATTTTATAAACGTCTCGATATAAATTTAAGGATATCTTTTCAAAATTTATATTATTTGGCTTTATTTTTATAAATAGTTGAAATAGTTTAAATTCTATACTTAACATTGTTTTTCAAAGTTTATAATTTACAGAATATATATATTTTTTTAATTTAAGAATATCTTCAATATTCATATTATTTGGCTTTATTTTTAGATAAATGATTGAAATAATTCCAATTATATATTTTTAAATTTTTTTTAAAGTTTATTTACAGAATATATTTTCTTTTATTATGGCAAAAGCCATTGATATATTTTATATATATATATATGTATGTATGTATATGTATATATGTATCCTATATTTGATAATCGTGCAATTTACGATTCTTTTGCTTTCCCTTTGATACTTCCTTATCCTTTAAAGTGTTTAAGCACATGAGGGATGCAAAAGGAGAAAATGTGAGAGAAGAAAAAGAGATCGACCTTGTGGCAGACATTCTCGTTAAGCGGTAAGCGCGATAACCAATTTAGGGCCTCGGAATTTTGCTGGCGCCGCCAGAAATAGTCAGCCAACGCGTGCGCGCGCGCGCGCGCGCATGTGGCGGTGTGTATAAACTATACTTAACCCTGCTGCTACTACTACTTGGATATATTCACACACTAAAATCAAAGTCTACTACCACCGTCCACCGGCGCCTCCATGCTATTCTCACGTGGTGTTTCTCCGTTATTCCGACGAATAATAGATCGCGGAATCGCAAAGGGAAAAGAGAAATCGTCTCTTGCAACATAGAAAATTGAATTTACTTGCAATTTGGCCACCAAATTATCTCGTTCAATATTGACGTTTGTAGTCAAAATTAATTTCTACTTATAATTAATATTATTAAATATCTGACATAATGAATAGTTAAATGTTTCCAGACTACGGATATATAAAAATATATCTGTAAAATTTAGAAATATCTAACAATTCATAAGTATTATTTTTATATCTTTATATCTTTATATTATTTTTATATCTTATGAAAAATGTTATTGGTAGATACATATTTGTATAAAACATATCTCTAGTTTAAAAATGGTTTTATTTTTTTTACTTATTGAAGATTAAATTTTGTTTAATTTCTATGTATATATACATACATACATATACACTTCTCAACAAAATTAAAGCATCACTTACTCTACCCCAAAAATAGGCAAAATTCAAGAGTGTTACTTCGTCAGAAATGATCGTATCGAGATGATCAAAAAAGCATTTTACAGCTTGAAATCTCTACTTTCCAAATTGAAGCAAAAAGGACCATTTTTACTTTAATATTGAATAACTCGGTGAAAAAAAATTGTACAACGCTCAACAAAAAAGCAAATTAAAGGTAAAGATTCACTCTTTCGAAAGCTGTAAACTGCATTTGCATGCAATTTTTAATTCGCGCCATGGAACTTGTCAAAGTTTGTAAAAAATTTTGAGATTCGTCGAGTCTCCTTTTCTATCCGTGTAATTCCATGAAAGATCAGTAGGATCATTTTCTAAAGTACCGATTTGGAAAGTAGAGATTTCAAGTTGTAAAATGCTTTTTTGAACATCTCGATACGATCATTTTTGACGAAGTTACACTCTCTTGAATTTTGCTTATTTTTGGAGGGTAAAGTAAGTGACGCTTTAATTTTGTTGAGAAGTGTATGTATATATATATATATATATATATATATAACTTTAAAGTTACATATTTCATATTGTCTATAGTTTTTTATTAAAGTAAAATCTGCAAATAGTTTGTAATACAAATTGGCCAAAAAATAAGATTTTATTATTTGCATGCCAAAAATATAATTTTTTATTTCTAAAATTCCTTCTTTTTTGATTGTACAGCTCAAAAATTATTTGTGTCTTGAAAACTTTCGCTTAAAAAGATTACTTTAATTATAAACACGAAATATTGCTTTTTATATAAAATTTACTTGTCGTTAGAATTTTGTGTAAATAATTCTACTTATAAAATAATAATGTTATTATGAATAAATTTTATTGTAATAGACATTGTTCAATATTTCTTGTGGCCGAATGAAAGGTAAAACGTGAAAGTATTTCAATCTGACAAGGGTCGACAACGTGTCAGCGAAATTAAATTGATACTGTCCAAAATTAGGTCACTCGCATTTGCGTAGAAGGGATCGTGTATTGATCCCTCTGTCTTTATGTCGCGGCTTCACCTGATCTTCTCTCGCGCTCCGAGCACATCTTTCCTCGAATTTAATTCCCACGTGTCCCATTCGAGGTTCTTCGTAGTCGGCGGCAAACCTTTGGAATATACAAGAGGCGACTAGCAACAATTTTCTCCGCATGATTAACAAGCGGATCACGAATTTTTCCAATCTCCTTTTCGTATTATTCTATTAACTTCTATGTACTCTTGTGTTGGAGGCCATCAAATACATTAATAAAAAATAACAACTTATTCTGAACAATAGCAGCAAATTTCTAATTAACTATTAATTACTAACAACAATATAATATATATAACAGTACCTATAATATAATTAAAGGTTTTTAGAAAAAAAATTTAATGTAAAATTTATAAAGGTATGAGGACGCTATAAATCAAGTTTTATAAAATAGTATATTTATTTTATTCATTTCCATCAGTATTTATCTGAAAGTTTGTATCGTATTGTATTACATTGTTAAATAGAAAAAAGTGAAAATCATCATGTTTATATATGAAATAATTGTATGCGTTATCTACCCACGCGTATCAACATGTTCTCAGTAACGCTAATCGTGATAAAGCACACCTCGGCTATTTCCATTTTGCGTACAACTACGATGACGTCAGTGAAATAAATAGTAACTTAACAGGTGGAAAATGTCTGAAATTCGATGCTGATGAAACTTGTAAGCATATCGCTGATCTTCATTGCCGCAGTTTTATTTCATCGCACATTGGTTGGCTCTTACTCCGCAATGTCGTTACGTCCTATACCCCCGTCTCGCAATTTCATTTGTTAGATTGCAACGGGATAGTATAAGGTGTGATGGCATCTATTACTCCATGGGATAAACCATGCCGCCGACGCTATATTATATACAGTGTACACAACTTTGCAATTCATTTCTTTTATATTCTCTCACACTTGTGTTGTTCTCGCTTATAATTTAGCATTATTTATTTATCAAGAATTATTTGCTTGTTATTTCATTCCGCTTTAATATTTTAAGCATTTTGAAAAGGAAAGTTGATATATTGCAAAATAATTAAAATAAAGATTGTGTATCTTCTCTACTCACAACAGAGCATTTAAACAAAAATGAAATTGATCACATTTAAAATATGAAACTAAATTCTATCTATCTTCTCGATTGCAAAATTGTTATTAATTATTACATATAAATAATGTATTAATATTGCATTAAATATATTTATTGTAACGTAAATAACGATCAAACATTTGATTTAAACTGACGTTTATCGAAATAGATTTTGTATTTAAGTTAAACTTGCGTATTGAAAAGATTGCAAACAAATTTTAACAATTAACTAGAAAGATCTTCTTGAATTTTTCCAGCCAAGCTTGATCTCAGCTTGCCATCTATTTATTTCTTCTTTTCACAGCTTGTAATACACTACAAATATATGAACGCATGGAGCTTGATATATGTTGCATTCCTGTACTCCTTTAAAAAAGAATACACTAACAAGGTTGCTTGTCAGTGAAAATAATAACCATTACTCCTTCTTTCCTTTGCTTTCTTGATGTACAAGAAGTACGGTTTACAAATATGTAGAAAATATAATGAAAATATAAATTTAAAAAAATATAAAAAATATATTTGCTCTGTAAGTCGCGAATGGAAGCAAAAACCAATGTTTAACAATGGAATTTTGTTCTCTGCATTAGTTGTCAAAAACTAATCCAATAATATAATTTAATCCCTTTGTAGTTCGCGATTGATAATTATTTCCGTGGTAAAAATAACTAAGGAACCGATAAGAATTATTCCTCTGCAATATTTTGATATAATTAATTGTATTATCGCTTATATGTTATGTGGTATGTATGACTATTGAATAAAAGTATATTATACTCTTCTATTTATAGTATTAAAATTGGAATGTAAATATTTAATTCGAGTATCATTATTATATTAATTGAAAGCACATAGATATAATTGTTTACAGTTAAATTTTTGCACAAACTTTAATAAACTTGGCTCGATCCTGCCGCAGCGTGTTATCTCGAAAATACAAGCGAAACATTCAGACAATTTTGTCTCTTGCAAGATTAATTAGACCTTATCTGTGAAGCAGAAGGAAAATGTACGTTATAATCTGTCATATTGCATCTCCTCCTTATATTTTACATTTCTTTGACATTACCTGCGTACCTTTGTAGCTCTCGAGTGTACGAGAATCACTGCTGATCTATCATGAAAATTTTATGAGACATATCTACAGACATAATTATTAATTATTAACAATGAGGGATATATTGTGATATTCTGATATGTTCTAAATTCGCCCAAGGATTATATCGAGCTAAAGCGAATAAACTAAAGGTGACTAACAAATTACGGAACTTAGGTGCGACGATCTATCTCGTGGCGAGTCCATAAATTTTAATTTCGCGGATTTACATGATAAGATTAATTTGAATAATCGTTGCATGATAACGAGGAGCACGTCAAGACGTCGGAATTAAATTTTATTCACAAATCCTGCCGCGACGATAAGACATTCTGCACTTAACTCGTGATTTATACGTTATACACTATTCCCCGGTCGCGATAACGCGCTAGAAAAATTCGTTCGAGATCTGTTTGAAGTACCTACAATTTATAATAGCCGGTAAGCCTAAAGTTGACTATATAGAGAATGCAACAGTTTTTTTCTTCATTGCAGGGAAAATGTACGTGGGCAGGCACAGGGAGTCGGCGTGTAACTCTACAAGACACATTGCTGCGATCGCTATCCGATGTCGAGAGGAAAGTGCTCTGCAAGGTAGCCGTGGCGAAGCTTCAAGCTCTTAATCTGGGTGTACATATTAGACCGCCGAGCGGTAAGTAGCCAATTTAAAATCAAAAGAGCTTAATAAGAATTTCATTGTGTGTTATACGGAGCTTTTTTTACAAAAAAAAACTAAGACGATAACATTTGTATTATATACAGCCTTGGCTGCAATTATAAAGCACCCTCTATTTATTGCATTTCTCTGGAGAAGGCGATAATAAAAGTCAAAGAAGGGCTAACAAAATATTAAAATTGCAGGGTTGGGTAAGTTAATATTTCTTTTCACTAACAATAAGTTAAATTAAAGTTACCAGTCTTAAAACTTTAACTTAGTTAAAATACAAGTTAATCCATAATAAAATTAATTGAATTAAAAGTTAAGTTATTAAAAAAAGATAATTGAAAAGTTAAAAGTAAAATTTTTTTCATTTCATAATTTTAAGGTTTCTAAATAAAGTTTCTAAATAAAATGTGTTATACTTATTCCCGTCGAGCCGCGGAAAGAGGACCGATTTCGAAGGACTTCTTCCAACATGATTTAATATGTAGAAGGTAATTTCTTTTCACGGCCAGACTATATTATATTATAACAATTGCCTTAATGTGCATTCTGAAATTTGAGTTTGAAGATATCAACGTAGATATGTATTTTATTTTGGATTTACAAAAGATACATTAAAGGGTGACTTCAAGAAAGTTAGATAAAAAAATTAATATAATTACCGATAAAATGTAACTAAATTAAGTTAAAAGTTAAGAATCTAAAATGTAACTAAGTTAAGTTAAAATTATTTAACTGTTTAACTTTTTAACTTAACTTTTATCTTTTTAACTAGGCACTACCTAATCCTGTAAAAGTAAATATTATTTTCTAATAAAACTTTTTTTAAATTTATTTTTTATTAGCTATAGAGCGTTATGCCAATGTTTAGAAGGTGCTTTACATTTAAGGTCAAGGCTGTATGTTTTTTAATTGCCACTATTATCAAATAATCTCCACACAATCTTCTTGAACATTCCATATCCGCGTTCCGTCGTTCCTCGCTCAAATCGAAAGGAATTCTTCCAGCAGATGCAATTCTATTAAGGCCATCTGCATGCCGCATTGCACGCTGCGTTAACCCGTGGAATATAGTTGTTCCGGAACGAAGGCGAAAGAAAAGAGGAAACTACGTCCAACGAAATTCCTAGCGTATTTAAGCGCGCGGCCCCCGCTAGCTTTTATTTAACAAACAGCGATGAGAGTCATGAATTTCTCGGATGCTTTTGTATGTCCTATAGAATCGAATCCTTATGCTTTCTCGTCAACGCCCCCGTGTACGATGTAAGTTATCCGTGATGTGAAATTTTCTTCTTTCAGTGAATTCAATGCTTCCAACGTTATATAAATTTTTTTAGCTACTACATTTCCTCATATTTTTATGTCCAAGACAATTTTTCTTATTAAAAGTTTGAAAAATTGTTACGTATCTAAATAAATTCTTTCATCTTAACTTAAAGGTGCACATAAAATAATTCATATTTTTGAAAAATGTAAAAAAAAATTTTTTTATTTATTTCTTTAATCAGGTGATTTGGGATTAGTTGATTTTTACGTTGCGGCAACTTTTATTTCTTTTAAGAACTTAATCTTTGATTGATTGTCTTCTTTTAAGAAGTAATAATAAGGTTAGCAATCTATTTCCGTACGTGTATCTAATTGTAAGACATTACTTCGAGGTCTATCGCGAAAGACGTGGCACTATTCGGCTGTCTCGTTTGAACTCCAAATGATTGACATGTTTATGACCGGCGAGTGCTCGCCCACAGTGAAGTAGTAATCACTTGAATTCCGATGTCGCCTCTTTGAGCCTTATTCATGATAACACACAAACGAGAGAACCCGAATGTAATTAAAGCTTTGTCATTGTATCACAATATAGAATGACTATAACTGCACGAGATGATAGAAATAGAGATTGAATTAAGATATAGAGATGTAATGAATCTTTACTACGATAAATCGTCCTTGATTGAACTCACTAAAATCATGATTCTATTTTTTATTTCTGATGAAAAATATTATATGTAACCTCCATGATAACCTTCTGAAATAATCAATATAATAAATATTTACTTAAACTCATCATTTGTTATAATTAAATAATTAAAGTTAACTTTCATATTCGCTATTTAAAAAAAATTTTTTTTTACTTTTTGCTAATATCATAATACATATAGCTTTAATTATATATTGACTTTAAAATTGTAAAACATTAATTATTACTAACAAAATAAATATTTTCTGGTGAAAACATTATTATCCAAGCGCAGTTTTATGATGAAATCAAATCACCGTCACCAGTATACAATTCTATAACATCGACGAAGCAATAAAAGAGAAGTTGTGCAAATATGTTCGTGTGATGAAAGATGCATTTCTAAACTAGAAGCGTAATATTAATCATAATACGAAAACTATTGTGTCAAAAAACAAGAAGCAAAATTCATTTCGGATTTCATAAAAGATGTACTACATATACTGCATATACTGTATGCACTGCACATACTACATATACCGTGCGTATATATAATATTATGCCGTCAGCTAAAATCAACTTTCGTAAAGTTGGATCCCTTCGAAACTCCTGCTCTTACTCGTAATTATGTGGATGTTATATTATGTTAATCCTCATATCAGCTTATATAAAAGCATAGGAATATTATTTATAAATAATAAAAAATGCAGCTCGACCTGGTAATAACAATATAAATAAAAACGGGCCAAAGACGAATACAAATTTATCAGATGTTAAATTCTTTATTTACTCAATAGCAATTTCGCGATACCAGTTTCAACCTCACTAGGTTTTTCTCAATCGCTGAAACTTAAACCTAATGCAATGCAACTAATAAAACTTGTGTGTATATATTTATGTTATGTTAATTACATGGTATAAATATTAAAAACAAAGTCAATTATTATAAAATTTAAAATAAAACGCAGTTGTCAAGTGCAGATTCATGTCTTCGGATTAAAAATTCATACCAAAAAAATGTTGGATGATCTTCCTGTCAAATAATGGGGTTTTCTATGGTTATTAGCATGACATTAAACTATTTACGTGTGAATGTGTCGAGCAAAAGTCCCATACGGTTGGCATGTATTGATGGAAAGCCGTTACATCTATTATTGAATAAATTGTTAAAAATATTTAACTAGAACTTATTTTTTATATAAAAATAACAAGGCTAAATCGTTGCAGCTATATTATTTATGTTATCTTAAAATTTTTTTTCTTTACTTCACTTTTTTTCTTATATTTCAAGATAATATTTATTAAATTATGTACTACTTTTAGCAAGGATTTCCGTTAAAACAGCCGCTTTTTTATGAATTATTCCGCCACAATGAAAACAGACGATGCTCTAATTTTACAAACGGATTGCATAAGATGTGCACCGCATAAAATGTAAACGAGGTGTGTCTCGGAATACGAAATTTGTCAGGTCGCTCTCTCTGTTTCCTTTCAGAATCGCTCGGCACCGGGGCAGTGACCACGAAACCAAAGAGACGGGCGTACTTGCTAAAGAGGAAGGCTCTCACTACGGGCTTCTTCGACAACAAAGGGAAGGATGAGAAGGAAAAAGGTAAGGTACAAAGGGCCAATTCTTTATTATCCGTGTCGCCAGCTACGGGCGCAGCACTTTTATCGCATTGAAAAACGATCATCAAAGATCGAGAATAAATGGTAACGCTTATTCATATCGCCGGCTGTATTTGTCTCTTTCAATTAAAGGTCCCTTCGCCGAACGGAACGAGTTATAAATTCCACAGATGTCATTCGAGACTTGTGTGCAATTTATTTATAAGATAATATCGTAAAGATAAAGAATCGCGGTCATCAGGTCACGTTGGGAGCAAACGCGTGGGTTCAATGAAACGTCGTGCCCGGTCAACGAGCTTACCTAACCATCTCAATGAGAATCTTAATATTTATGACGTACAAAGGAAATAACTGGAACATCTAAAGTTAGAATAATTCTTTTATATAACTCTGGCTGACACTAATTGTAAGTTTAATCGGTGATAATTCTGTAAGGATTATATTTACATCAATTAGACAAATCGATTCTAATTTCGTCAATTTTTATTATTCGATCAATTTCAATTTGTTGTTTACAACATGTTAAAACAAGTTACGAACGAGTTAAATAATTTTTATAATTGGCACGAATAAATTTAATATAACATTTAATATATAAAATTCCTAAAATTCGTTATATTACTAATAATATCTAAATAATAAAATATGCAATTTTGACTTAACAAGTGATAATCCACGCAATGATTATCGCGATATGATTAGAAAAGTTTCTTGTTAGCCATTCAGGTAGACAAAGAAAGTAACAGCAAGAGCAGCTTCCTCTTTTTACGATTTTTTATATCTTTTTCTTGTTCATCTTTGTACATAATTAAACTAACTAACTCTAGGTTTTCCATTTGCTTCTTCTACGTAAAATATAATATTATCCTTTTGTGACATTATATATTTCTTCTTTGCAAAGGTATTTACATGATTCTCAATTTTCGCTACAGAATATAAAATGTTGAAACGCGTGAAAATCATTCTGTTTATATATACAGTAAGAATTTTAAAATTTATCAAAATTAACAAACAGAAAATGATTAAATCAAGGCCAAGAAACGAGCAAATTAAACAGAATTGGTTGGAAAAAATTAAAAATTATTTTATTTATTTTAGTAAAGGAATTTTTAATTTTTACCACCAATTCTGTTTAATTTGTTCGTTTTTTAACCTTGATTTAACCTTTTTTTGTTTGTTAATTTCACACACGAGCGTGGTTTTTTTTTAATTTATCAAAATTGTTGCGTGAAACAAATCAAGAAAATTTATTCGATCGTATCAATAATGATAAGACGCAGTGCGTTGTTCAATACATTGAAAACCGCATATTTAACGGACGTAATTTATGGCGCAATTATTTGTTTGGAGAATAACTAGTTCAGTTATTTTCAGACAGACGCAATAGAGCGCTCGCTGAAGTTCGAGGGAGTGCTCTATCACTTGATACGTTTACGACATTCCTGAGCGCATATATGTATGTATATATGTATACGGCATATACATATATTTTAATTTATACGGCACAAAGACAAATATTACTCTTGGGACAAATTTCTAATCTATTTTAGAGGAGTTCTGTTTGGGGTTCCACTATTTCGAGTTCCATGTTTGGTTATTATAAAAAGTAAGTCAAGTAAACCCACTTGCTAAGCACATTTCGCCAGAAACACATTCGTCGCCCTAAATTGAATAAAACCCTTTTCTCTTAGTAATTATTGTTTAAATAATGAAAATAATTAAATAAGTAATTCGTCAAAAGTTCCAAAAGTAATTAAAAATCATTAATACTCCTAATTGCTGATTAGTTCTGACGGCCTCGTTATTATATCGAAGATACAACGAAGATTACACTATATCAAAAAAACAATTCCGAGAAAGTACGTAAAAGTCTCGGTGGAGAAATTATCTCCGCGGGACAAGCATAGATTATACCCGCCTCATTCTGCAGAGCTTTTCGCGGAATATGAATTAAAGATTTTTATAGGTCACATGCCAGAATAATCTTTTTTGCTGAGTATTCTCATATCGGTAGAATGATTACACGAGAAAGAACTGCAATTTTCTGCAGCCTTCTTTGAAATTGCGTCTGGTGTATCCTATTAATATGTTCGCTGTGCTCTCATTCCGTCTCATTGCAACGAGTTAATTATGCATCCTGTGAATGCACAATTACGTTTTCGGCACTATTTGTGCTGCACTTTCGCACTGCTCGTGACATTTCCAATAAAGATTCGCTAAATACAATTTTAAACGAATACAGGTATATATTTGATAGTTATAGATATATTATACCATCATCTATAGATTTTATTATTATATAAATGTGCAATAAAATAAATAAATATATATTATATATATTAGGGTGGGCCGAAAAAAATTTTTTTTAAATCAATTAGTAATATCCCCGAAAAGTTAGCTATGGATACCTCAGATACCTCAGATACCTCAATATGGTTGAGTAAAATTTCATCGAAATTGATTAATATCTTCAGATTGCCCCTCGACCTTGCAGTTAGTAAGTTTATGCATTTCTTCATAGATGTGTCAAAATTTGTGAAAAAATATTCAATTTCAATACAGTTTAGTATTACCTGTTGTTTTTTGGTTATTGAACACGAATTCGAAGTCAGAAGTATATTACATTTCAAAATGACGAATCCGAAATATATTCTTAAATAATAGATTAAAATTTCTCGAAAAATACCTATGATAGATATGGAAAAATATTTCAAATAAAAATTGTACGGTTCGGGGAGGTACATAAGAAAATATCATTAATTTTATTTTAGATGGCGTTGTTAAGATCAGATCAAGATCACATCAATTTTTTTTAACAGAATTATATTTTTTTTACATAATACAATTTCTCTAATTATTCTGCATATAAAAGTATTAAGGTAAAGTTATCGAAAAATCAATATTTTACGAGATATTTTATACTTTATTATACCATGTTTCAATACATAATATGAAATATCTCGTAAACACTATTGATTTTTTGATAATGGTCCCTAATATTTTTAGGCACAGAATAATGAGATGAGAATTGATTGGTGTAAAGAAAATTTGTAAGAAATGCATAAATTTACTAATTTTAAAATTGAGGGGCAACCTGAAGATATTATTAATCAATTTCGATGAAATTTTACCCAGGATTATATTGAGGTCCATAGCTAACTTTTGGGGGGTATTACTAATCGATTTTAAAAAAAAAATTTTTTGTCCCACCCTAATATACATATATATGTATATATTTGCATTATATATATATACATATAATATATAAAATATATTTTCGAGAAATGTTTCGAAAAAGAAGAGACCGTTTTTTTAAAGTTTTTTTTAAAACTAAATATATAAATATATAAATCATTTTTATTTACATAAATACAACAATATCTTTGTTTGCACTTAAAAGGAACAGATAGAAAAGGTAAGTAAAATATATAAAAAGAAATCAATGTTGAACGCATAAAATTGAAAGTTTGAGAGAGTGAATAATGTACCATTATTTTTATCATTACGAGTGCTACTCTGAGAGTGTTGTTCAGATTGTCCATATATAACTATTAATCGATTGAATTAAGACTGAAATAAGTTGCAACGATGGTATTTCAACAATCCAATAATCGGAGCGAAAAACGCATCTACTTGCTATGTATATACAGGCGGCAAAGGACGGGCGTATTAGCTTCGGCCAGCCTGGCTGGTATGAGACACAATTTCGCCGGCTAAAATTAGTCACAGAGTGCTCGGTAGCGGTACATATTTCCGCATATATCAGGTTTATTTGTGGTCCGCGCGCGTTGAGTACAAGTGCCCATGCGTAGGGACACCAGACGTCAATCGGGAGACTCTCTCTTCGTCTATAAAGCGAGGTCGCTCACTCCCTTTAATGTATATCATTCGTGTGTCCTCCTCGAACGACTGCTGTGCACATCGCGCAAATTATAAGCCGTGAATTAAAATCTTATTATCTCTGATTTAAGTGTACAAAAACGGAATAAATATTTATTTGCCCTTGAAATAAACGACGTTTAAGGTGACACTTTTAAGAGATATTTTCAATCTTATACTTTAATAAAATTCTGTAATAAAAAACAAGATACACTACATTATTTATATATTATAAATATAACATAAATATAAATATAAATATAAAAAATTTAAAAATTTATGATATTTAAAAAAATAAATATAATAAAAATAAAAAAACATATAAACAATAGTAACTAGACCGCGTAAGTGCCATGAATATCACAAATAAATTTTAAGAGCGCATTCTACGGTCGAGGCTGGAGTTTGATGCCTAATAATATTTCCATATATAAATTCTAAATTCATTATGCAGTCTTTTTAAACTGTGCGCCGAATTAATGTCGGACTTGCAACACAATCATAAGCTGAAGCTGAATAGTGAAATCACAATTAAATTGATTTTCAATGTTTAACAATCCAATGCATCTTAAAATATTCAAGAAATTTATTACGAAAAATATTACTTCAGCCAGGGTAAAAATAAAAAAGATGAAAACAAAAATAATAACAAATACATTTGTATAAAGTAGTATAAAGTAAGAATATTCTCTTATTCTCTTCCCTCCCTCTCTCTCTCTCTCTCTCTCATATTATTGAACTAACGATATTATTTAACAATTAAGAACGCCAACACAGTGGATTTTGATGCTTCATAATTTTTTTATTTTTAAAGTATGATATTATTAAAATAATTATAATGTTTTATATTATAATTTCATTTTATATAATGTCTCAAATAATTGCATACAAAACATAAGCATTACTAGTATGTGTGTGTGTGTGTGTGTGTATGTGTGAGAGAAATACTTATTAAAAAATTAAAGCTTTTAAATTCTGATAAGTCGACGAACAGATTACCTGACAATGTCACGTAATAGGATACAGAAAAGGCATAAAAAATCACGATCGTATTCTCGAATTAATCTTCAAACGTAAAACATGAGAACTTAAATTCATAAATTT